CATTTTATTTGGGTAAACAGAAAAATACTAAGATATATATATATATATACATATATATATATATAATTATTTTAGTTTAAAACTCTTTATTCTGGGAAGTAAATATTTATAAAGCCTTTTAGATAATATATGACATTAAAAATTGAGTTCCTAATTGAATCATTAAAGAACTCTGAAATTCTCAGTACCCCATCATTCCACTATTGGGCATGAGTTATCTTCAGGACTTTATATCTCAAAGGAGATTTTAAATATTGGGGGATAAGATAATACATTATGACATTGTTTTAAAAATGAAAAGGAAGAAAGCGGTCATGAAGATTTTAAAGTTGTTATGATACTTAAAAATTAAAAGAATATTTAAATTACGTGTGATGGGTGCTTCAGACAGAGGCAATATATACTGGGTTATCTTCTACACTGAATATACTTATTTATGCAACATATTATTTGCTCACAAAAGGAGGCAATTTAATATAGTGATCATGAAATCCACATCTCCCATCAATTTGGAATCTACATGATATCTTCATTTGGCTATCTAAAAGCAGCTCAAACTTATCAGCTATTACATTCTAAGCTCTGTTTATCCAAAGTCTTTTCCATCTAGCATAATTCCAGCTCCACTATTTCTGTTCTCTGGGACAAACATCTTGGAGATTTCTCTGACTTCTCTGTTTTGTACAAACTCTATATCCAATTTATCAGTCTAACCTACTGTTTTTTGCCCTTAATATACAAAGGCATAACATCACTTAATTTCCACTGCTCCATTCTAGAATAAGTCGTTAATCTGTGACCCGGAGTCTTTAAAATATAAGTAAAATCATGTCAATACCTCTGCTTAAAATCCTTAGCACATCTTAATATTAACCATAGTCAAATTCCTTATGAAATCCTTCAAAAGACTCAAATCCTCTAACCCTATATATTTCTAAAGTAATCTCCAAGGATTTCCACCTATTAACCCCACTTCAAAACCTTCAGATATACTTGATGCTAGATTTGATAGTCATGATCTTGCCTTAAAACCGCCTATATTCCAACTATCCATAGGGCTCACTCCTCTACCTATTATACCTCAAACATAGTCTTCTTAATGATGCCTAAATTATAGATTACTCTCCAGCCCTGACATGTCTTGTCCTGCTCTGATTGTTTCATACCATGTACCACTACTACATCATGTATATGGGGTCACAGACTCAATTATAAAGTTGTTGCAATATTCAAAATATAAAGTAATAGTTCTGAACTTCGAGAAGGAAGTTAGAATAACGATGAAGTATTAAATACTAATGGCTCAGTAGATGCGAAGGTCTAAAATAAACAAGAGTTACAAACACAAGTACATCAGACACACAAAAATGTAATATTATACACAGGTGTATATAGGTGTGTCTGTGTATTTGTTTATATATGGAGCTTATAGTTTTGATGAATATCAAATAAATATTTCAGATATGCAATTATATTGATGGGAGACACTGGTTAAATTTTAGATGTTTAAGTGAAAAGGGTCCTATTTTGCTTTCTGTTTAGAGTATTATCAAATATTCTTGTTGGGAAATTTTCCTCTATAATTAAAGATAAAGTAGTTTCAGTATAATAGAGTCTAAACAATCATCCCATTTACTACACACTTGTTTATATGTGGCACAGTTACTTTTTTTTGTATCTCCTGAATATTAAGAAATTGTAGCTGCAATTACATTTGATCTTAGGGAGTGAGTGTAAACCTATGGTGTGGGCGATGACAGAGATAGAGTACCTAACCACCTCTATTTGAAGTCCCCTGGGACTTGGGTTAATTAATGAGACTCATCCTAAGGTTATACATGATCTATTACTTCCTCTAATTAGAAATAATAATCCTGATCATTATGCTGGTTAGCTGGAAAGAAGTAAGATGAATGTCCTTAACTATGATTAATAGTCTTCTTTAAGCAGTGTAGATCTCTTTTGTCACTAAGTTATATGCAACTGGGCTGCAACTCAATGCTTTTTCATGATATATATTTTTAAGCTCACAGATAAAGTCAATATTCTGGAAAATAAAGTTAATATTCTGGAAAATCTTTTTACCTCTCTGGATAAAACACAACCATTTTATTATTTTAAAACTGATTTTTCCCAACAAATAGTATTTTTTCCATTTTACATGAAATAGCTAGTTATGTAAGAGACTACTATTTTATATTTGCACTCCAGTCTTATTACGTGAAACAGACTTAATTCCAATTAAGTCCAATGTTTAATACTTAAAAAATATATGATTCACAGGATGATTTAAGTATCACTTATTTAATACTATTTGTTAAGGCTCATGTCTACCTTTTGCCTAATGAAAACCGTGTCCTTTACAACTCAAAAAAAAAATTAACAAGGTTAACGAGGTAAAATACACTCACAAAGACTCTTAATCATCTCTAGTGTTTAGTTTTACTAATTTATCTGTAATAAGGTCAAATGTTACAGGTCTAATTTTAATGTCACAGGTCTAATTTTAATAGGAAAGTAAGTAGAATCTTCCTTGCTATGTCAGTGGCTTTAAAACGCTGTGCATGCCCTGGGCAATCTCTGATGTCTGAGTGAGATCAGGGGTGATGATACCTGAGAACCGGGACTAGAGAAGTGATCATTATAGTGCAGAGGCCATTTTTACCAAAAAGCTTATAGTCATCGAAAAGATCATTTTATCTGAACAATCACAGAAAAAGAAGATGGTCAGATATTTTCCAGTTACACACACCCATTAAAACCTGTTAACAAGGTAAGCAAGGGAAAACATCTAGAATGGATCAGATGACTCACTTTCAAACCTTGGCTTTACTATTAATGGTCCTGTCTTGAGAACTCATCCTATATTTGAGTAACCATTGGATCAGGTTACAGAGAATGATAAAGATTGTATGCATCTCATAAGGTAGGATTAAACAGGATAAAATGTACAGATCTTTAGAATACAATATGTAATTAGACTCGAGTTTAGAATATATTGCTCAATGAAGGAGATATGTTAGAATTTCATGATGTGACATATGTATCTAATCCTACATAAAATATATATAGTTTTTTAAAGTTAGGTTTCTTAGGCATCAATTATATTGCAGGAACCCAAAGTAATTAAATATTTTATCTAATCCATACATGATGTAGTTTATCCATTAAATTTATAAATGTTGATTATTCACAAAGGATAATACAGAGGATAACAAATAGTGAATACATTTTTTTAAATCAAAACTGTGGTTAGAGTTTGTATTTGTTGAGAATCAGTAGAATTGCTCGAGGAATAGTTATGACTTCCAATAAGCCTCGATCCTGTATTAATTTTTGATAATGAACTTTCATACACTTTAGCCTGTGTAATAATTTCATTCTACAGGATGTCCTTTTTATATTGGAATTGAATAAGTTACAAACCTATTCTCTTCAAAATGAGGTTATTATATGAAAAGTAAGCAACAACATAGTTTTCAGTTCTCATATGATTACATTTTCAGTAAGATAATTAAAAACATGAAGAAACTAGCATTTAGTTAGACCTTGTGTTGTTCCAAGTAGACTAGAGAAACAAATCCAGGGAGACTCATATATGTTTAAGAAAGAGCTTTATATACAAGAGTAATTGAATATTGAGAAACAGCCCAGCACAGTCCATATCAAGTCCATAAGACTGATATTAGCCAATATGTCCTTTACCAATCTATAAATTCCTCTTCAGACTCACAAAACACATGCAATGAAGCCTAATACAAGAAAATCACAAGCCAGTGGGTGGAAAGTCTTGTGGATCCATTGGCAGTATAGGCATCTCCGTGCTGGCAGGGGTCGCCATGGGATGCCTTCTGTTCCAGGGCCCTAGCGTAGCTCCATGTGTCTTCTCAGAAGGGATGTCTTGCAGGGAGTGAGAGAGCATCCTGCCTCCAGTGAGCTATGGATCTCCTTAGCAGCTCCAAACGAGGTCATCAAGCTGTGACCTGATTGACAGCTAAATTCTACCCCTTCACTATTAAGTCTCAAATTGACAACAGATTATGTAACTACCACAGACATCTACTTTATGCTACACTTACACATTAGGGAATAAAAATTACATACTCAGTAGTATCCTAGGTAAAATAATGAATAAGAAAATGTAAAATGTATGTTAAGTATAATTGTGTACTTATTATCTCTCTGTGTATTAAGTTTTCCCAGAGTATATGGATCTTGGAACATATTTTTAAGGAGAGGTTGGCAATGGAAAAAGGACAATATAGACAGAAAAGTAAAAGTAAACTCCACAATTTTATAGATTAACCTAAGTGAACTTCATTGACTGCTTTTATGTTGGAGTGAGAAGTCAATGTAAATAAAGTTCACACTATAAAAGTTCTTAAAAGATAGATGGACGAAAAGTCCGGATGTGATAGACCAAAGGAATGGGTTTTTTTAATTTGTACTTAAAATCCTAAAATTGGTTTTTAATTACCTGTTTTCACATAAACTAGAAACATCTTTGGGCCTTCAATTTCAGATAAAATTTTGGCAGATATGGATAAAACAAAAGACTGTTTATATTAATTACTTTTTAAAAATGCGTAACCAGACTTTCTTTTATTCTTTTTTAGACATTTTTTGCAACCAAAATTATTTTTCCAAATTATATCCTTATTGAAAAATCTATGTATCTCAATGAGTATGTACCTATGCATTTAATATGTTTTAATATTTTTCAATAAATTTAAAAACATTGAGATTGATAAAAGAGCTCTTAGCACTTTGAGTTGAAATAGAGATAACATCATAAATAACTAATGTAGGTAGAATGTCACTCTGCCAATCAACTGTAAGCCTGACATCTTGATAAATTAATAAAGATATATATTTTTAACATTCTACTGAGCTAAACTACACATTAAATACTTGTGTTGATAGCTGGCTATAAGCCCCTCTAAGAGAAGAAACGTGACAAAATACGAAAGCTGTTAAAATTTATATTTTAATAATCATACCTGCAGGCCTTGACCATCCACAGTAACAGAATTGGCTCTTTGCATCTTGCTCTTGTCTGTGACCTTGTTGGGTGGCTGGGAACCACTTTTTTCCTTTTTCACTGTTGCTTGTTTTTCCTGTAAGGAAAAGAAAGCTTGCTATTAAAATGTGGGCTTGTCTTATTTATTCCACATTTTACAAAGACCACGTTTCTATGACCTGTGTCCAATTTCTCTCTCTCAATTTTTTAGTCAACAATAGCTGGGAGAAAAATGAGGCTGCCCAATCCCATTAAACTGTAGAGTCTCAAAAGCCCTAAGAATCAATTCTACACTATCTTATTGGATTATTATGAGTCAAAACTGACTTCATTATAGTGTGTTAAATGAATAATAGGAGTGTTGATCCTTTTAACCCATCTACTTGGTTAATTATACAGAATCAGAATATTGGTTAAAGAAATAATGTGGGGAAGACCTAATTGTATTATCCATATGTGCCCAATTGGGATTCTTTATTAAAGATTGAATGATTGTTTGCAGTTGATTATATTCACAAAAAGTAGTTTAGATAGATAGATAGTGGCAGATTATGATTAAAAAAATAAACAACAACCAACAAAAAAGAACCCTATAAATACATGTGCAATGTTGAACACGAGTGCTAATTGCCTGGTAGAGGTTTACACTACTTTTTATATCATGGATGACACATAACTTAAAAATTTAAAATACAACCCTAATAATTCCTCCATTTTACCTAATGGGAAAATTTCTTTTTGGAGTTTTTTCTCCTTGCATCTCTTTCCTTTCTGCTAATTCTTTCTTCAGCCCAATCCAGTCAACTTTTATAACCATTACTCCACCATGTCACTTTTTGTTAAAATCACCAGACTTCTAATTGCTTCACCTATTCATGTTCCCAAATTTACAGTAGTATTCAACAGAACTGGTCTATTTTCCCCTTTTAAACACTTGCCTCTCTTCCCTCCCAGGAAAATTCCTTCTTTCAGGTTATTTTTACCTTATTGTAATCATACCAAACTGATCGATATGCATCCAACTTTGTCTCCCTACACTCCTGGAAATGCATTAAGTGGTTTCCGTCTTACTCAAACCAAAACACAAACTCCAAATCCTTTCCAAGCTGTACAGAACCAAAAGCTACTGCCACAGAGTCGATTCTGATGAATGATTAAGCTTGCGTCATGTCCTTCTGGTCTCATCAGTCATCACATGCATTGCAGTCACTCTATTCCAATGGCATCAATCTCCTTGTTGTTCTTGGGTCCCAACAACTATGCGCCACATCAAAGTTGGTTCAATCACCCTGTAGTCCTACCACACAATTTCTTCATCTCCCTGATAAAATATTAGAGAAGTTACTCTACCTTCTTCAGCTTCATATTATTCATTTTTATCTGTAGTGTTATTTGTTTCATTTGTTAACTAAGACCTCTATGTCTGTAGTGTTCTCTCTTAATTTGTTTACCACTGTCTCATTCACTAACATAAATTCACTGCTGTACCTCCTATCCTAGATGAATACCTAATTGAACTGATATAAATGAATGAATCCTTACATTGTAGAAGTTATATACACATACAAACTACATATTGCTCTATAATATTGAGAAGGATTCATGAGCCGATTTAGACTCAATGGGGAGGGAAAAAATCCTTACTAATTAACAGCATCTACCATGGGTACTTCATGAAGAGTGGATTACCTGCTACGTATTTCCTATTACTGATTCAGATATACATTCCTATAAATAAAGAAGGCGCCCTGGTGACTTAGTGGGTTACACCATGCGAGGTTAACTGTAAGGTCCGCAGATAAAATTGAACCTTTCTATTCCAGTAAAGATTTACAGTCTCAGAAATCTACGAGGGTAATTCTACCCTGTTCTATTGGATTGCCATGGGTAAAAATTGACTCGATGGCAGAGAGTTTGTGTGTGTGTGTGTGTACATATACACATACACTTATCATCCTGGTGGTACAGTGGTTAAGTGCTCTGCTTCTAACCAAAAGTTTGATGGTTTGAGCCACCAGTCACCTCAAGATGAAAGATTTGCAAATTGCCTTCAGCAGTTGTCTCTTTTATAGGGTCCCCATGAATCATGATTAACCTGCTGCACACAATAGGTCATATGTGTTCTTTGTGTGGTGTATTTTTAGTTTTTGTTTTTATTTAATGATAGTTTTAACTAACTTTAAAAATATTCCTCCTTTTTAAATTTGTCAAGGCTAGATGGATCAGAAAGGTACTCTTTATAAAATAAATGTTCATCAAACTGTACCTTACAATTTCATGATGCAAAAATACTATATATTTTGTGTGAATAAAAATATAATAGGATTATTCAAATTCATATTATCTGGAAAATTATATACTTTCATAAGTCATAATTTCTGGCAAAATGTTGATATTTTAAAATAGTTATTTTCCTCACATGGAAATAACATTTTGACTGATAATTAAATAGTAATATGCATAAAATGAGTTAATTATACAGTGAGGCTTGGAACCAATAAACATGAGTTGTATCTTTCTGTGCAACTTATGTAATCCTTGTCCTTAGGGACCTTGCCTTTGGTAGCTTGGATGCAGTAAAACCTACTTGCTACAGTTGTGTAAGGTTTAATATAATGTATGCAAAATTCTTAGCATTGTGCCTGTGTTAGAATGCGTGCAAATTAGATTTTATAATTACGAAAAATGTAAAATAGGTGGTTTTCCATTTGAATTTTAATTGATATCATAAACATGCAAAGAGTTTATTATATCCCCAAATGCATATAGAACTCACTAGTTAAGCATACATTTAAATGAGTAAAATTAATGTTTATATTTGAAAATGCTTAGTTTATTTCAGGGATCTCTCAGAACCCAAAATGGTTAAGTCCTGGACAATGAATGAAAAGACTTGGTTTTTCAAATCTGCCCAGGGTCTCCCAGCTTTACAAGGCCAACAGTCTGGAAACCTTAATGAGTACTTCTACCTGCACACGTGGGGTTGGCATGATGATGACATGACTTACAACCAGCTAACAGCAATAGCTTATGTGGAGAGTTCTAAGATATTGTTGGTAAGTATAGGGAAGCTGAGTAATTAATTAGGATTAATTAATACTACCATTAATTATAGTATTATAATAATATATAGATAATTAATTAATAGAATTAGATAAAATTCAAGATATTCACATTGCAATTACACATTTAATATGATGCAATTATATAGTTAATGCTAGAAATTTAAGATATCTAGGTTTATGTCTATATACTGATATGTATGATCTATGACAGGGGTGTCAAACTGAATTAAATCGCAAGCCATTTGGTGCCACAGGCAAGATTCAAGCAGGACGCATCATATTTACAAATTTTGTTAAATTTATATTTTGAAACGAGGATTCAGGAATATGGATAGGATAATTAAAACACTATATAATTGCTTTTATTTAAACATCTATTTTATGTAATATAACACTAAAATTATTCTTTTTTTACCCGAAACTTGCCAGCACTTTCCTTCTACTAGTTTTCGCTTACCTCTTATGTTGTGACCGGACAATATAACAAAGTAAGTAATAAAAAACACAAAATGTTGGACAGCTGACAAACGTGTTGCACAATCATAAAGGCTTTCCTCTAAAAATGTCTGATTCCTAACAGCACAACCCACAGTGCTCTTTCTAACCTTTCGCTATTGGGATCTGTTCACATTATGTGACACTGAGAGGGGCAGTCATATCGCTTCCAAATGTCGCCAGAACTGAGTCAGAGCATTTAAACACGTCCACAGGCCCCCGGGAAAGGCACTGGGCCACGTGCATACTCTTCTTCAGTAGTTTAAGGGTTAACAAGGGAATTGTGTGTATGGTGTTTCCTCAATCTCCCCTAAATGCTATTTTCTTCATAACAATTTTTTCTATCTTCATTTTATTTCAAAGCAACAGGGGCCACAAAAAATCATATCGGGGGCTGCATGTGGCCCATGGGCCACCAGTTTGACACCTCTGATTTATTATATGTAAAAGTCAACTTTACATGTCAATTTAGCTAGCCTATAGTAATTATTTTGGCTAGAAATTACACCCAATACTCCCTGTTCAATATGGTTATATTCCAAAGAGCTGGGTGTTATGTGAAAAGAGGCTTTACACAAAGATGGGTGAAGACACCCTGAGATCATAAAGTGGTGGCTGACTATACATTCCATAGGTACCAAATTAGGTCATCACATGATTACTAAACCACAGAGAATTATGCTTCAGCTACATTGGCACGTAATCTTAACTATTACAGCTATTGCGACTCCAGCTTAGCATCTAGGTGTTTCACTTCCAGATGCATGTCAATTCTCAAAATTGTGGAATGGAATATTTTTTTTACTCTTGTAGTAAGTACAAAACGTCAGATAAAGAACTACTCAATGTATGGTGGATAAGAATATTCCATTTTATGCATTTGTGATGTTAGTTACTAAGTTGATGTAAGTAAAGCCAATTGAGTCTTCAGGAGAAAGAAAGAGAGGTTCTCCTTATGGGGTTTTCTGCCTCCAGACTCAGAGATGGACATCTTTCTAGAAGCGCTCCACTCTCCTGTTCCTGTCACCTAGCTTACCTTATTTGGGGACACAGGTGACAGGTGGGAACACAAGGTGCTCCCTAACCGACAATCAATCACACGAGCGTACTGCTTAAAAAAAATGTTGCACTCTTTCTCTCTGTCATCCATCTATTAGACTGGTTCTTTTATTCTGGAGAATACAGATGAAGCTACACCATCCGGTTGTATTATTAGTTTACGTTCCGCCTATGCACATAGACTAAGGAAATTCCACTGAACCTCTTAAAGCCAATAGTTGTTGATCAAGCAGGCAGCTCCACTCTCTTCAGGGAGCCATGCCTCTGAGTAAGCTGGGGAGCGTACCCATAGAACGCTTTAAAATAAGAAAATGCAGAAATCATGATGGTCATTTTTAACATTCCAAATTGTTTTTCCTTGGTTACGTTCTGTTCTGGAACAAAGGTGACACATGGGGAAGCCAACCACGAGTACCACGTGGAGCCACTAGCCACTCCGAGGAGAAAAGTATGTCCAGGCAGTTCTATTCTGACCCAC